GAGCTACCACCCAGCCCCGGGGGCGCACCCGCCTGGCGCGGCGACCAGCGGTCCGGGGGGAGGCAGCAGGGCCAGGGGACCGGTGCTCGGCTCCCACCTCGCGACCCGCAGGGCGCAACCCCCTTTGAGAACAATGGAGAGGCCCCCTCCCCCATGGAGAACAATGGAGAACCCTCCTCCCCCATGGAGAACAATAGAAGCCAGCCCCCTGCTCCCGTGTGGGCCGTGGGGCTGGGGTGTTTGCTCGGGCAGGCCCCTAACCCCGGCTCCTGAGGGCCCCGGAATTTCCCTGGGGAGAAGGGGTCTGGGAGTTAACAGTTTCGGCCTCCTGCCGCGCTCATTTCATCAAGAAAAAATGTGTGTGTGTCCGTGGGGTGGGAAGCGTGTGTGTGTGTGTGTGTCTCCATGGAGTGGGAAGTGTGTGTGTGTGTCCCTGGGGTCGGAAGTGTGTATGTGTGTGTGTGTGTCCATGGGGGAGTATGTGAGTGTCTGTGAAGTGGGGAGTGTGCGTGTGCTTAATCTGTGTGTATCTCTGCGAGTGTCTGTGCCACCCAGAGTGTATCTATGAGTGTGCTTGATCTGTGTGTGTGTGTGTGCCTGTATCTGTGGGGGTGGGCATCTGTGTATGTGTGTATCTGTGGGTAGGGACAGATCTGTGCATATATGTGTACTTATCTCTGTGCTTATTTGTGGGATGAGGTGTATCTGCGTGTGTGTATCTGTGGGATGGGGGCAGGTGTGTGTGTGCGTGTATCTATGCATATTTGGGGGAGCTGTCTGTATTTGGGGGAGCTGGGGAGTAACTGATGTGTATTGGTGTTGTGGGTACATGTATTTCTGTGCATGTGTCTGTGTGTCTCTCTGGGCGTGTTTGTGTAGTGTGTGTGCGTGCATCTCAGAGCAGGGAGTGCATTCCCTAAGGCCACAGAAGTGCTGTTAACACAAATTAGCCTTTGGTTCCTGGAGTTGTGTTTTTGTTTCCTAAGCAAGAAGCGGGTGGGGGAGGGGGAAGATTCCCTTTCTTCTGGAGCAGAAAGTTGGTGCTTCCTTTTTATGGTGGGAATTTCTCAAGGCCGCAAACACAGGATCTGATCACGCCAAGAAAAGCTGCTGCTGTTGTTTGGGAAGCGTTAGGCACGCACGCACACACACACGCACACACAGAGCCTGGCCTGGCCAGACCACCCCGGTGACACACCCCACTGCAGCCAGCCGCCTGAAACCTCAGCCAGGACAGTCCTGCTCCCAGGCACCTGGGTGAAAGACACTGCCCAGGCAGCTGTGAAAACCGAGTGTCCAGAGTGTTTTGCTCTCCAGCTAGACATGTACCCGGTGTCACTTCCCTCACCCTAGTGCCATCAGGCTGCTCCTGGAAAACAGAGACATGGACAGATTCAGACAGTATCTCTGCAGGACTCAGGGCGGTTTGTCCCCTGACAGGCACTAAGTAGCCTGCAATGACTTCATGATTAATTAACAAGGACCGTTAGCAGCTAATTATTAAACAGCAACAGCTAAGGATTAGGAACTGAAATTACAGCTAGACTGGGGCAGTGCCAAGGAAACTAACGAACCAATCCCGAGGAATTTGGAGTTAAGGCTCCCCCCCCCAGAACCACGGAAGGGTCTCAGAAGTGTGGCTGGTTTCTCTCCAGCCAGGGGCCCCATTCTGCACTCCCTGTGCAAGAGACATCCTGCATGGGTGAGGTTCACAGGCCCAGTCCCCGTGCACACCTGGGTGAATATGGCATGTGGCATTTGCTGCATTCATGGCAGACACTCACCACTGTAACCCCCCTGCCATCTGTCCTCAGGAATTGGCTCCCTCAGCAAGTAGGGTGCCTTCTCTGGGGTGGTGTCTCCCCTCTTTACTCCCGGCCGCAGCATCCTCTTCACCACACTGCCCTCCGGCAGTACCCAAGTCTGTCTCTGAGCCCCCCTTCTGGGGGTCGATGTTCCTTCATCGGGCCTTCTTTCAAGCCCTGCAGTCCGAGTATTTGCTGGCCAGAGCTCCCCTAGCCCTGCCTGGCCTCCCCAGCCCTGTCCTAGCTCCAGGGAGCCTCCTCCTCCCTCAGCAGCCAGGTTCTCACTGCTCCCTCCTCGCAGCAGCAGCCCATCCTCTATTATAGCGCCCAGCTGGGCCCTAATGGGCTAGTACAGCCTCAGCTGGGCTAAATTCCCCGGCCCTGGTTCAGGCCGGGGTCTGCCCTTAAAGGGCCAGTGCAGGGCGAGCGCCCTGTCACAGGGGGTCCCACATGCCAGCTGGCCCTGGCACGGCTGGAGTCAGCAGCGTTCCGGGGGTGCACGTCCACTGCTAGCCAAGGCTGGAGGTATTTGATGGGCAGCTACGTTGGCAGAGGTTTGTGGCCAGATGCAGAGGGGGAAGATAAGAAATTGAAGCTCAATGCGAGGACAGTTAGGCTGGGGCCCCTTCTCCCTGGGCAAACCTGGATCCATTAGAAGTGCCTGGAGCCTGGGTGATCAAAACAAACAGTCTGTTACAGGTACAGGGCTGGGAGACAGCGTGGGACATGCATTTCAGTGACTTGCTATTACGTTTTTTTTGGGGGGGGGGGCTGCTCTTTTCCTAAGTCTCCAAAGTCTAAACTAGGGTTGAAAATATTTTACCCCTTTTTGCTATTGGGCGTGGTGGGGGAGAGGGACCTGCCCCTAGGCTGGCAACACATCTCCCCATCACAGCTGGCTTTGCCACAGAACATCCCAGAATGGAAATGCCCAGTGGCCAGAGAGTTTGCTATAGGAACAGTAAACCAGACACCTGCCCATTCATGGCATTTCTATGGCCTCAGCAGACTTAGCACAGTGCCTGCCCAGGCACTCCTGGGCTTTGAGACCTGTTGAAAAGACTGAAGAGCCT